GATGAGAGTTTAAGTTCCAGGGGAGGGGTGGGGGTGTAACTTCTAGAACGTTTGGTCGATTAGTGCTCTTGGTGATCACTATTTACTATTTATAACATATAAATTATATTTCAATAATAATATTATATTGTATAATATGATGTTATAGTAATATTATATGATATTGTATTATATTATATTATATTAAAAAAAAAGTTTATATAGAGCTGAGGCTCTAAACAATCAAATTAGAGCCCACCTCAAAAATTTCACTAAAAGATGTTGTTTTGATGTCCAAATATCCTTAAATTGATCATCTCAATATCAAGATGTATAGACATGAGAAAAAAAATGAATTTCAAGTTTTGGAAATAGTGTATCTTGTAAAGCATTTTTTGGCAATCAATTTTCAATATTTTCAAGTTTTCATATATTTGCTCTATTTACACTATTTTTGAAGCTTTAAATTTTATAATTAAAGATGAAAATATATTTGAAAACTATCACAAAGACTTCTAGTACTAAAACCACATTTCTTGACACAATTTGAAGGTGGGCTTTACTTTGATTGTTTGGAGCCTTGCCTCTATACACACTGCACCCTTATATTAATAATATTAATCGGAAGAAGTTTATATAAAGCCGAGGCTCTAAACAATCAAATTAGATCCCTCCTTTAAAATTTCACTAGAAGAAGTTGTTTTGATGTCAAAATATCCTCAAGATGCATGGACATGAGAAAAAATTGGTGTTCAAGTTTTGAAATTAGTGTATTATGTAACACTTTTTTGGACCGTTAATATACAAGTTTTTATAGATCCGCTCAATCTAGATTATTTTTAAAGCTCTACATTTTACAATTAAAGATGAAAATATATTTTAAAGCTATCACAAAGATTTTTAGTATTGAAACTACATTTCTCGACACTATTTGAAGGTGCACTTTACTTTGATTGTTTAGAGCCTCAATTATATATAAATTGCACCCATATTAATATTATACATAATACAATTACAATAATCTAATATTATATTATATTATATATATATATATATAATACAAATATATATACTTATTGTAATATATATTTATATTTATATTATTAATATATATTTGTATTATATACAATATATTTATAATAATATTGTACATTATATTATAAATTATATAATACTATGTACAACGTATAATGTACAATATATACTATTAACATACGTTTATATTGTATTATATTACATTGTTACATATTTTTGTATTTTATTAATGTAATTTATATTATATGACATATATTTATTATATATATAACATTTATGACATTATATTATATAATT